CTTCCAAAGCCATTGATGGCCTGTATCTACCTCCTACGACTCCAACATGATCGATTATCATGGCCTCAAGCCTGATCTCGACCTTGATCCGGTCGGATATGGCTATTCTTCTGAAACCCTAACCTTCAAGGTTCTTCTGATTCTTTTAGATCCGTTGTCGATCTGTGTTCTCTCCAAACGTTTTGAAAGTTTTCTTAAAGTTTCTTTCAAAACCTTACCTTTAAAACCTTTATCTTTTTTGATTTAGGGTTTTGTTAAGTTATTTCGAAGCTTTTCTGATTTTTTTTAACATGTCATTCTTCTACTGTGTTTCTTATGTTGATTCTTCTACTTTGTTTCTTTATGTTAAAAGTCCTGGCCCTTTCTTAAGGTTTCTGGTTTTATTTTCTTCGTTGATATTTTTGCCTAATTCTTTTGTCCTTCATCTCTATAATCGATTGATGGTGAAAACCCTAAATTTGGGGGGTTTACTCGAGTTTTGAGGCTATTTGCTATGTGATTTGCTTGTCCTTCATCTCTGAACTTGTTTGGTTTCAAAACCCTAATTTCTTTGGACCTATTTGGGTTTCTGAAGTTGTTTCATCTGTTGCTCGATTGAATTTCAAAATCTTTTGTTTCTTTATATGATTCTGAATCCCTGCTAAACTCTTCTAAGGTCTTTCTACTGGAACCTTTGCATGCTATTTGATATTCTCTCCCTTCTCCATTATTGAGTTACTGAAACTGACCTATGTGGCTACCATATTCCTATAGTCCACTACTTACTGATTTTGCAATTGCATGACACTTTTCTTTATCATAAGTTCATCCTCGTATGCCTAATACTTGTGTGCTCTTTATATATGTTGAGCTTCCCCCCTAAAATGACTTTCAATTTTTGACAGATTTTAGACCTCCTTGTGTAAGTCTGATTGATGCTTTCCTTGTTTTACTAATTTTCCTGTTTCTTGGTTTGATTTGAAAACTTTCCTTAGACTTTCTGACTTGGTTTATTTATGGACCGGTAATTTCGAATCTCTGACTCCTTGATTTACTATGTTCTGATTGATTCTTACCTTATTTGTTTAACCGTGTATTTCAAAGATCCTTCCCTTAATTAAACTCCTATGAATTTACCCCAAATTGTCTACTTTGCACAAGATGCTTATTTGATCTCTTTCCTTAAATGATTTCTGGTCATTACCGTTTGAGTTCGAACTCCTTAATTAAAGGAAGTTCTTCTACTGATTGATTTTAATTGGTACATGGTTATTTTCTTGCCTTATTCTCTGCCTATTTTCAAACTATAAATATCATGCTCTTTCATTGACAATAACACATACAAACACTCTTAGTTTTCTGAACTCACACTCACCTTCAAAAAGCATTCTCTCTTGTTACTTGTATTGTGGCCTGTTTTCAAGTCCTGCTACTTGCTTTTATTGTACTTTGCCTCTTTGAAACTAGTATGTTCTGATTAAGATTTTCAGCAATCACAACAATGTGTTTACTTAATACTTTTACCTTCTTGTCTGTCTACTATTTGTGTATAGTTCAATACTTACTTTTGCATGCTGTAATTTCCTTCTGCCTGTCCTGTTATGAACCCCAAACCCCTGCCCCATTGTTGTGCATGCCCAAAGCTTAGCCTTTCCAAGCATGGGCTCTCTGGAATTAGTTCCCAATCCCCGACCCCCTGTTGTGCAAAGTTATCAATTTTGTAGCTATTTCCCAGTACCATTTTCCCTTTTCTTTACTGCCCTAGTTCTTAAAGTTCTGTTTCTATACTTTCACTCTCTCTTAGACTTTAAGTTCTGCCCCCGTCTTGTGAGACTTTCCTTGGGACCCCTTGAGCTCCCTCTGAACTTGGATACTTGAGGGCTGGCCCTTCCACACTGCGCTTATACCCATTCTGATAATACAATTTAGGTGTGAGCACTGCCCGGAGTCCCATTGAGGCTCTTAGGGAACTCTGACACACTCAAGTTGAGAAAGGCTTTGGATCAATGGTCATTGAGTTGGCTTATCTCATAACTCAGTGAGGAAGTCAGAATCAGGCTACCTCTAGTTGTACTTTTATTTGTATTTTCTGATGTAATTTACTATTCCAGTTTGTAATAAGTTGTAATAAATACTTGGGGCAGGCTAGTGAAAAGGGGTGGGTAACTATGCATGCAAAGGGTGGAAATCATGCCTATAGGATTATTCTGAATCCTTCATATTCAATTACATATAGAAACCATGCCTATAGGTTGTTCTAATTCTGCATATTCAACTGTATTAGATACCATGTCTATAGGTTTTAAACAGCTTCTGCATTTAGATACTATGTCTATAGGTTTTAAACAACTTCTGAATTTAGATACCATGTCTATAGGTTTCAAACACTTCTGCACTTAGGTACCATGTCTATAAAGGTTTAAAATCAGTAATGCCTAGAAAACATGCCTATAAGAGTTTCTAATAAAAAATCTAATTCGCCTCACTCAGTGTTAGATCTAAAATCAGTAATAATGGCTACTATCAGCCGCAAGACTTTTAATCAATTCCTTTAAATCCTGCCTCTCTTTTAATAATCTTATTCTATCACTTAGCAAGTTTAACGAGTATGCATTCAAACAGTTCATTTCGAGCCTTACTGTTTCGTTGATTTTTTGAATCCAGTAGATCCCATGCCTATAGGACCCCTGTTCAAACACTTAGGCAAGCCTTAGGGTAATAAAAACTGAATCTGCTTCTGTTAATAATTATAACCAACAAACATGCCTGATTCAGACTTCTTATCTGAGTTATGTGATAAGCTGAAACTGCCTCAACAATTTCCTCTCACTCGTCTTTAATACCTTTTAAATTAAACCTAAACAGTATGTATAAGTCATGCTAATTACGTGCTTCTTTGTTCAAGGAGGTATATCTAAGCCTATGCTTGTTATATGCTTTCCCCAATTTGCAATACATGTTTTGTATGTCGCCTTAGAGTTTTTTTCTTCCTTTGAAACTACGAATAAGCCTAATGTATCTCCCTTTTAGGATTAGTAGTCCTAAATTCCTCCAGGACTGACAGGATTGGGACGGATAATAGCACGCAATAAGTAAACGAGACCAATCCACGCTTTAAATACCTTAACAGGGTGGGAATGATAGATATGGATATGATGACCACACGATAATGCCACGTGTAGCCCCTCATTGAGGAGTGATTACCGAGAATTGTGTGGGGTGATCCATATTGTTAATAAACCTAGGATCCCCTTTCCCTTATTTCTTTATTTCTTTTATCATTTCAACTCCTTATTTAAAAAATCAGCTTTCTTTGTTCTTCCAAACTTTGTTTATTTGCAAACCATTATATGAAATCCCCTCTTATTTGAGCCTTATTTGTCTACATGTTAATTGCACCCCAAATTCACAATAATTGTCTGGCCGGGAATCATACTAGTGAATTATGAGGGGTGCCTAACACCTTCCCCTTGGAATAATTTCAAGCCCTTACCCTAATTTCTGGTTATTCAAAATCAAACTCTTTTGGTGTCCTAATGCACCCTTATCATTAGGTGGCGACTCTTCAAACGCAAACCCAATTCCCAAAAGGAATGAGTTGTCCTCCAAATGTCATAAACCCAATTTTGCTCTAGAAAAAGAGGGCGCGACAACTGTCACACCTCCTTTGGCCTACACCCCGTAAATGGTATAAGGGAGTTTTTCCAATTTAAGTGACAATCGAAACAGAATTATTTTTATTAAATTCAGAGTCGCCGCTTGTGATAATTGATGGTGTCCCAAGTCACCGGATTAAATCTCGAATGGAGGAAAAGATTGACTCTGTTATACAGTCTGCGAACACAGAAATTCGGGTGAGGAATTCTGTTAACCCAGGAGAAGGAGTTAGGTACTCCCAAGTTCCGTAGTTCTAGTACGGTCGCTTTGATCATACTTGGCTTATTAAATTGTCTAATTACTGATTTTAGATCCTTTGTGCATTTACCTTTTACCGCTTTTAACTAAGAAAATTATCTTGAAACGGGTCTCGCGTACGTGTACCCATTTGTTTGGCGCGTCAAGAATCATGTCACGCGGACGTGTCCACAATTAATAACGCTTTATTATTATTGAGAAAAGTTTGGCCAAAGTTGCGCGAACGCATACTCCGGTTTGGTTTTTAAAATCGTAATCATGTCACGTGAACGCGTACACAATCACGATGGTATTTTAGACGTGCCTAAAGCAAACTAAACATATTCATTTTTTAGTATCTAAGTTATAAATATGTGAGGGCCATGAGCAATTTTATTATGGACGGCACACCTCAATCTATCCTTAAGTAATCGTAATTATGTCACGCGAACGTGTCCACAATCACGACGATATATTAATAATGCGCCTGAAGGTTTGTCTACCGGGTGTGGTGGTCCTAAACATGCTCCTAATGGTCCGAGCAGGCAAAGTAAAATGATAAGCTTGATTTTTCATTCTGGATGTCCAATATCCACATTCAAAACAACGGGAATGACAGTCGAATTATTCAATCACGTTAACTTATTGGTCAATAATAAGTATCACATATTTGACCTCCACCAATACAGCATCAATTATTTTTAAATTGCAAGACTTGAAAAGTTCATACAAAGAAGCCAACAACGATTGTGATACACCAGCTGCTTGGAAAACAATACACGATAAAGCTAATGGCAATGTAAAGAATCTCAACAACTAAATACATGCATCTCATAATCTTGGTTCATTTCCTTTATTCATTTTTTGTCAAAAATTTGATTCTTAACTATGGAACATTTATTTTCAACAAAAGCAATATGTCAACGATAAAAAACAACTCATTTCAACCCTTGAAAACCAACCGAATACGAATTCATGAAGGCAACACACAAAACAAATATCATCAGAACAAAACGTTCACCAATGCTATTACGGCATCACAAACAACAATGAAACCTTAACTAATAGATCAACAAAACGAAAACATGAAACTAAGGCAAAACAGTAAAAGAAAGGGAGAAATAGACCTTGAACAAATCTGAAATATGATTGTTTGACAGCTTGAAATGCTAAACGACGGAAAATCGGCAATAAGATCAAACGAAACTGAAATTCGACATACTCAAACTTCGACCACGACGAACCTCAAACCGGCAACCCCAAACCACGACCTCAGACGACATCAACATGCTATTTTTGATACAACTCGGCAGAATCAGATTCGACAGTTTTGACGACTATCGTCGGTTTCCTGTTCATTCGACGTTAATGGCACGACTCCGGTGAAACAACGACAGTAGAGGGGGAAGAAGGCGGGGACCGGGAGCAGCAACCGTCGCCAGCGATGGGGTGAGATAGAAAAAGAGAGAGATGGCTTGGAAGGGGTGTTCTGGTCTTCTAAGATCTAGGTTTTGTCTTANGCATTACCTATATGTAGAGTCTAGGTTTAGGTGTATTTTTGTGTATTTTCCAATTAGTCCCTAGATCTTTTTGTGTTAAGTCCTTAGTTTTTTTTATATTTGTTTTTGATTCCAAAGAAGAGTCTAGAAGGGTCCCTAGGCTTAATGGACTAACCCGATTTGGGCTCTAAAACTCTTAAAATTGTGATCCAGCACCTTAATTGACTCATTTTAAAATAAGATAAAAATACTACACAATGCAAAAGCTAACATGAAACTATTATATGTTTTTTTTTGTATTTTCAAAATTATATAAAGATAAAAATAAGGTACTATTTTCTGCATTTTTTTTATGAAAGATACATACTAAAATATTTTTTATGATTTTCCATTTTTTATGACGAAAATAAAGTAAAGAAGTCAAAAATAGTTGAAATAGCTATATTAGGCCTAAATTAAATATTTACGTGCTAAATATGAAAAAATCTTGGGGAGGGTCAAAAATCACATGTCAACAGCTGCCCCTCTTTGACTGGAAAGACGAAGTATTTTCAGACAAAGAACGACTAGACTGGTTTTTTGATCCGACCCTATTTGGAGAGACTAAAACTAAGAGAGGGGGGAATGTGACCGAGCCCTGGTATCTGAGCTGCCTACATATCCTTGGCTATAAAGGAATCAGGCCACATGTAGTTCAGATATGAGTGCGATGATGGAGTATGCCGAGGTGGAGAGCCAGTCGAGGTGTCGTTCCGCCGAGGTCCCGGTCCATGGTTCCGTTATTACATCAAAATCATCATAAAAAAACTAACTAAGCCGTTCAACTACAAGTTACAAGATTCCTATCTATATCTTCAAACTTGAATCACAAGAGGTTCCGGTTCATGGTTCCCTTTCTCCAGGTGGACGCCTGACTGCTGAACTTGAATTGTATTCCCGTGCTCTCCGGGTGGGCGCTTGATTGCTGAAACTTGAATGTATTCCCTTGTTCTCCAGGTGGGCTCCTGATTGCTAAAACTTGAATGTATTCCCTTGTTCTCCAGGTGGGCTCCTGATTGCTGAAGCTTGAATGTATTCCCTTGTTCTCCAGGTGGGCTCCTGATTGCTGAAACTTGAATGTATTCCCTTGTTCTCCAAGTGGGCTCCTGATTGCTGAAACTTGAATGTATTCCCTTATTCTCCAGGAGGGCTCCTGATTGCTGAACTTGAAATGTATTCCCTTGTTCTCCAGATGGGCACCTGATTGCTTAACTTGAAATGTATTCCCTTGTTCTCCAGGTGGGCGCCTGATTTCCACAAAATAGACAAAAACAAAGAAAACTTCTGCCCCAGTTTGGCATGCTACCAAATATCAGTAAGAACTTGAAAACTGAAACTTGAATTATACTCCCTTGTTCTCCAGGTGGGCGCCTGATTGCTGAACTTGAAATGTATTCCCTTGTTCTTTAGGTGGGCGCCTGATTGCTGAAACTTGAAATGTATTCCCTTGTTCTCCAGGTGGGCGCCTGATTGCTGAAGCTTGAATGTATTCCCTTGTTCTCCAGGTGGGCTCCTGATTGCTGAAACTTGAATGTATTTACTTATTCTCCAGGTGGGCTCCTGATTGCTGAACTTGAAATGTATTCCCTTGTTCTCCAGATGGGTGCCTGATTGCTGAAACTTGAAATATATTCCCTTGTTCTCCAGGTGGGCGCCTGATTGCTGAAGCTTGAATGTATTCCCTTGTTCTCCAGGTGGGCGCCTGATTGCTGAAGCTTGAATGTATTCCCTTGTTCTCTAGGTGGGCTCTTGATTGCTGAACTTGAATGTATTCCTTTGTTCTCCAGGTGGGTACCTGATTTCAATAAATGAAACAACAAAAATTTTCTGCCCGAGTTTGGTAGCTGGGCACATCTGTGAGTGTTAAACTGAATCATGTTACCAAATATTACTAAGAATTTGAAAGCTAGATCCCATTATCCAGGAGGGTCCTGACAACTCTTAATTAAAAGACAATTTTAAATGTAAGTTATATCTTCTTAAGGTATGTCTTATGCTAAGTCTTGTTATCCAAGAAAGTTTTAAAGCTATTTCCCGTTATCCAGGAGGGCCCTGAAAATCAAAAGTCAAGTTTTATCTTAAGAGTGACTATTTTACGGCTAAATTATATTACCCTACACCAGAACTTACGCTAAATTTTGTTATCCAATAGAAATTTTAAAGCTAGGTCCCATTATTCAGGAGGGTCCTGACAACTCTTAATTAAATCCTATCTTAAACATGCAAACTTTGAAACCAACTTATATTCCTTGGGGTACATTTATGCTAGATTGTGCTACTTATGATTGTTTCGATTTTTAAACTAGGTCCTATTTTCCAGGAGGGTCCTGAAAACTCCTAATTGGATTCTATCTCAAACATGCAAACTTTTAAGCCAACTTATATTCTACATTTATGCTAGATTATGCTACTCACGATTGTTTTGAATTTTAAACTAAGTCCCATTTTCCAGGGGGTCCTGAAAACTTTAAATTAAATCCCATTATCCAGGCAGGTCCCGAGAGTTTACGGTCAAACCTGTCTGGTGCTTGCCTTTCCTTGCGGTGGGTTTCTCCGAAACAAACGAAATTTTCTGCCCCTGTTTCAAATCAAAGAAAATCTTGTCAGTTTAAAAATATGGTGATTGGTTTGTGGCCTTGACTTTGAGGGTGGTTGCTCCTTCACTTCTCATGATAACTAATTTCCACTCAAAAACCTTGCTTGTTCCTTGACTAATCACTTTCTCTATCATCCTTATCACAGAAAATACCTCTTCTCTGTTCAGACCCAATACCCTCTATCTGTTGCATTACTCATGAACTGACATTTACCAACCTTTGTGTCTCACATGAATCCCAAAGCACGTCAATTATCGTCCACTCAATGTGCATGTTGTTCTTTCCTGACTTAACCCACTGGCATTGGCCTTGAGGTCTATTGCTCCTTCACTTGCCATGATAACTTTGATTTTCACTTGGAAAACCTTGCTTGTTATTGGTTAACCACTTTCTATGTCAATCTTATCACAAAAAATACCTTTAATCCATTCACCTAACACCCTCCATCTGTTGCATTGTCCATGAATTGATATGTACCAAACCTTTGTGTTTCACCGAAAATACCTTTGATTCGTTCACCTAAAACCCTCCATCTTGTTGCATTGTTCATGAATTGATATGTACCAAACCTTTGTATTTCACAAGGATCCCAAAGCATGTTGATTATTACCAGCTCAATGCGCTTGTTGTTCTTTTCTGACTTATGACATTTTGATGTGTTAGCCACACCCCATTTTGTGCAATTGGACAGCTGGTGGCAAGACAAAAAGAACAGAGTAAAGGACAATAGAAAAAGATGATTCCTAATGAGAAAACTACAAAGTAGAAACCTATCAGTTGTGGATACCAACTCTAATGACCATGACATGCACTTGTGGCCTATTCTGTCAAGTAAGCATGATGTTCAACTCTTGTTGTACCTTTAAACCGTGAAACTGGGCTTCAATGCTCTGATTATCCAATCTAATTCACAATCCTTATTCCACTTGTAGTGCCCGGAGAGTTTTCACCATCAAGCCTCTCTCATTTGCTCTTTCTCTCAACTTACTGTCGCCTCAAGGTGCCCGTGAAGGTTTTCACCAATAAGACTCTCTCATTTTTTATTTCTCTCAGCTTTTATCGCCTTACGATGCCCGTGAGGGTTTTTACCAATTAGAATCTCTCATTTTTATTTCTCTCGGTTTTCCATCGCCTTACGGTGCTCGTGAGGGTTTTCACCAATAAGACTCTCTCATTTTCATTTTTCCTTGCTTGGACCTGAGTGCTACCCCTGATATGATTCACCTCTACTCGCTTGACTTGGCATCTCTCGAAGACTGATCGGAAGGTCTTTCTTTGGATCGTAATGTGGGATTTTGGACAGGGTTGGAAAGAAAGGGTATCAAAAGGCTCAAAATAATTCAAATGGGTTCAAGATTACAACTTTCGGAATCAGATTTCTTACAACAACCACAACTTCTGCCCCAGTTTCTTTACTTGGGGGACTTTTGGATTTTATTTTGATGGGACCGAACCGTGAGGCTGTCGGCGTATCCTTACAAGGAATCAGGTCGAACGTAATTCATGTCATAAAAATTACTTTGTTATTGTGATTTTCTCTTTTCTCTTTCTTTTCTTTCTCTTTTTTGCTTTCCTTTTCTCTTTTTGTTGTTTTTCTTCTCTCTTTTTTCTTTTCTCTCTTTTTTTCTCTTTTCTTTCTCTTTTTTTTTCTTCCTTTACTTATCTTTTGCGCTTGCGTTTATGAACTTTGCTACTGATTCCAAAAGAGGGGTATGAAAGAAAATAAATGAGGCTTAAAGGGGTAACGAAGGATAATGTGTTTAGATAGCAGAACAACATGCATTCGTCATTCCAATCTTCAAAATATGCCAAGTGCAAACAACACAATTAAATAAACCAAGGAAAACATTCGTAACATCTTTTGATTGTACCAGACTTGATAACCATATCCCCATATTCGCCTTCTACATCTGTTAAATACAAAGCGCCATTGGACAACACTCTCACTCTCATTACCACGAACGACCCCTGTCAATTTGGGCAAACTTGCCTTTAGCTTCAAACTGATGTGGCATGATGTATTTCAACAGGGTTTTTTTTATGTTCTATCTACCCCAATTTCACACAATTCGGGCTTGAAGTGATCTCAAAATGCCTTTACTTATTTCCTTCAAATGTCCCTACATCTTCAACATTGTTTCATTGCTTCGTGATTAAACTGACTTTTAATACCATGCTAAGAATTACGCATGCATGTCATGTCACTAGAGTCAACAGGAAAAGAACTATAAAAAGAAAAGAGAACTAAACGAAAATGACTAGAAATCACAGAAAATAGAAAATTGCATTAGACAGATGGTGAAAGGGTTTGGACAACAAAACAAACAAACTAAATTGCGGTTACAAA